GGGGGGGGGGGGGGGGGGGGGGGGGGGGGGGGGGGGGGGGGGCTTGCGTGGATGATGATACATGTATGTGCCGGGCCCGCCTTGCCTCTGTCACTCTCAATGCAATAGAGGTCTTGAGTCAAACATCATTTATCTTCCGGCCTCTGGAAAAGCGCTACTGCTGCACCCAAACACGGGTTCATCGATACAACCCACGCACGAAGGCACAGGGAGCATAACATACCCTTCGTGCTTCCCACCTCGGGGGCTAAGACCAACACCACAAAACGGAACGCTACAACAGGGGACACGCAAGGAACCAGCCCCGCCCTCACATCCGGTAATTGGTGAATTCGTCAATGGTATCCCCGCAACGAAGGGTAGGGCAGGTTATCACATATATATATACCCTTTACAGTAGAGGTCCCTGTTCAAGGCCGTACGGTAAAAGGGAAATCGCCAGACCTTATATCGAACACCCACCCGGCACAAAACAGAGGGCGAGATAACTTGAATACTTCATCTGTACCAAGCGATTTCAGAAGCCTTGAACAGGGCAACCGGCCTTACAAGCGGCCTTACAAACAGGAATCTCTACTGTACTTTAAAACACGGATCTCTGTGCCTCCAAGGTCCAGGATATGGGGTAGATGAACAAAAATGTCAAGTCAGTGGCAGGGGGTACGTAGATCGTCAGATGGATAAGGCCGTGGCAACACCAACCCCTGGCTCCCTCACCCTGGAGCAAGTCGCGGAAAGCTTCCACCGATATCCTGGGGTCGCCCACACCTCCCCTCTCTAGACACCACCACAGCTGTTGCAGTTCTCCCGAGTGTGGAATAACGCCTGCCACATATTTCGCGGGGCCACGTTTTTCGTGAGGACGGGGGGGGTGGGGGAAGGGGCGTACTTATGTTTTGCATTTCCTTAGCGGTTAGACCATTGACCACGAGTCTGCGAGAGGACGGAGCATTAATCCCACAGGACCGACCACTGATGGCCAATCGTTCTTTCCTATTCTGCCAAAGGTGGCTCGAATTTGGGGGCGGGGGGCGTACTCTTNTCCTTTCCTCGCTATTCTATGCCTCAAACATCTCCCTGTACGTCCCATCTATTTTCCCCAGCTCAGTCACGTACACTTCCCTCTCCTTCTTGTACAACGGACATTCCGCGACTACATGAACACGGTCTTCGCATTCGAAGCCGCAATCACATTTGACCTCGTCGTCTCCGTCGTCTGCGGTCCTATGCCTTCGTCGACGTTCTCGAAGGCCTATGTCCCCGGTCCTGAATTTGACCTCAAGCTTTGTTCCTGCACCCATTGGTCCATGTAGATAATCCTTGGACCCTACTCCTTCCTTCAACATTCCGTACACTTCTAGACCCTCCTTATCCTTGGATTCTTCCC